CTAGACAACTTTTTTAAGCTCCCAGAAAAGTGATTGCACAAGATCTTGCTCAAATTTAAATCAATACAGAAATGTCCAACCTTTGTATAAGGAAACAACCTTGCAGATTTTTTTACACATTCAAAACTTGAAACAGTGGAAGAAAAAGGGTCAAAAATAAAATAAAAAATATCTACTGTAAAGACTTTAATGAATTGCTTGAATATATTCTTTTGGAAAAAAAGATATTTTCAGAGCATACCATCAAACTTGGAATAAATGGTGGTGCAGGATTTTTTAAAATTTTTACTCAGGATTGTATAAACAAATAAAAGGCCTGTTCGTATTAATTCATCACCAAAAAAATGAAAGAAAGCGACAGAAAGTGAGTAAACAACTGACACTTTGCATCACCAATTTCAGAATAGTTGACAACGGTATAAGCGCCCTATTTCACATCCAGAATATAAAAATCAACTTCAAAAATGTGTTATTGATTTTAACAGCAAGTATTTGTAAAATTGACTTTTTTTCAAAACAGTCCCACTTGGATGAAAAATCATGTATAATTTGTTCTTGTTAGTGAATTATTTATTTGTATTGTAAAAATGCCAAATATTTTAATGCTATCATTTCCTTCATTGCTGTTTATAGTAATAAAATTAAATGTTAAATAACTTTTTTGGATATGTTTCGATTTCAATTTTTACATTTTGATGATCCTGATATCATTTTTATGATCCTGACATCATTTTCAACACATATAGCAACATGCATCTGCTGTATGCAAACAACCTTTTAATGCCAATCAAATTAAACAATTGCACTCCAAATACAATTCATTATTCCTTTATTAAACAACAACATAAACTAAAATTTTAGCCACCTGTGCTTTTATACTCATATCACTACTTTTAAATAATTTAATGATGCTCTAGAAAGTTCTGGAAAAATCTCAGCACTCCTATTCTAGCGATTTAGGAATATTCTTCTTTCTTAGGATTCTTAGGAATATTCTGCAAATATAATATTCCAATTTAATGCAAGTTTACATACATACAAACATTTTACAAACAATACATTTTAATATAAGTACAACAACACAAGATAATGATTGACATGAAATGCACCTAAAATAAGTATTAGAATCAGAAAACAAAGCCTATTGTATGCTTGTTAGGAATCTTAACTAATTAAATTATTTACTTATTTTATTTATATACTTATCTCCTTTAAAAATTACTAATACAAAAAAATGTTATTTTACAGGATCTATATATTGATCAAAATATGGTAAGCGACTGGATGAAGTTTACAATATTATAAAAAAAAAAATCCTCTTTGACTGCAGTGGCCTCTCAGCCTTGGGGAATAACAAAAAAAAAAAAAAAAAAAAAGAAGAAACTGAAAACTTAAGTCAATGGACTTAACCTTTTCAGTTTCTTCAACCCTACTGAAGTAAAAAAGGATTTTATAAAAAATATGAATTAAGTTTTCTGTATAGGAGAAAAACCACAAAATATGATTTTGAAAAAGAAAGAAAGATAAGTTGAGAAACAAAAATGACAAAAAAAGAAAGGAAGATATTTTCTTGACAAATTGTTAGTGAAATTATTTTATGTTGTTAATTTGTTATTTATTATTGTTTATATTGCTATTATTTTACTCATCAAATATAATATAATTTTACCTTTAAATTATAAAAAAGAATAACATCTAAAAATGATTTTAAAAATCATTATCATTAAACTGCTTTTATTAGTATTAAAAGGTCTTGAAACTCATATACAGCAATATGATAAATTGTTTTAGATCAATACTTCTGTACTATGCTAATGCTAAGTCACATGATTTGTTAATTAGTTAAAACATTTTTTTAATTAAACATGCAAGTAAACTCTATATAAAATTTGAAAAAACTTTAACTTTTTTTGAGATATTTATATCACTTGTATTTAAACTATTTTATTTAATCATACTATTTTCATTTATATTATCAGTCTTTTATTTGTTTATACTTTTTATTCTCATAAAATCTTTCATCATTTTGCTCTCATTGTTAAGTAAAAATAAGTAGATATTCAATCAAATTTTGGCGACTTTGCACCTGGATTTTTAAATAAAATGTTGATGATAATCATGTGTGCTTTTCTAACTTAGATAAAGCAGAATCTTTTCTGACGCTTTAATTTTCAAGACCAGACTATTTAGTACATATATATGCACCAAACATTTTTAGTCAGACCTCCCTTAGCTTTTGTTTAGAAAAGTGAATTCCACAAGGCATCAGGAGATTAGGCAGGTGGACCAGTAGCAGGATGATCATGATGATCCTAACTATTGTAATTTTCCTTATGTTAATAATAACTTATTTACAGGTGCTGGCAAATAAATAATTAACTTGCCTTTTAATTTAGCTTTACATTTTAAAAATAAAAAAAATTTAATTTAGTCTTTACATTTTAAAAATAAAAATATTATTTTCACTTCAAAGGAAGCAATTGGTCTAACTACAGCAACTATATTTTCCATTGAAAAAAAAAAGATAATTTCTAATTTGAGTTTTTAATTATCTTTAAAAACACAAATTTTGTTAATTTTAGTTAAATGCTTTTAATATTTAAAGTTTTTCAAATAATTATTTTTTCTTTTTAAAAAGTCAGCAAGTAATAAACTGGAAATTTTAATATTGTACGATTAAAAATTGTGCTATAGCTAATATTTTTACCAGCGATTTTATATAATATTTTTTTATTTATTTATTTTTATTTATTTTCATAAAGCGGTTGATAAGCACAATCCCTCGTATTACTAAAAAACTTTAATGAACGTTTTGAATAGATTTTTAGTGTTTACAACTTTTGTAAACATTAAAACAAAAAAGCAATTGTTATTATTTAAGTAATTTTTTTTGAGTTGCTTTTTACAAAAATTTTAAAAACTGTACTTTTTTATTGAATCAAGTAGAATACGTTTTAATATTAATCCTTTTATTTTTTTTTTTATTTGCGCTTACCAATTTTTAAAATGTTTCCTTGAAATTACTCTTAAATACTTTAAATACGTCTAACAGTTAATAAATATTTTTAAATCTATGGAATAATTTTAAAACCTAACAAACCCCCGTAAAATAATTATTTAAGTTTAAAATCTAAAACTAAAAGAAAGTATTTTTGTTCAGTTTTATCGACAATTTTGCTAATGCTGAATAATTTTAATTAAATTTTAGCTTAAAAGATTTAAACTTTTTTTTTAATTTTTGAATTTTTTCTACTTGTAAATAATGAGCATATTTGATTTTTTTAAATTCAAACTTTTATATCAACTGCGTGCGGTTTTTAAGATACTTTATTAAATGTTCGTTAAATAATTGTAAATTACTTCATTAAAATTCTGCTCAAAAATATCTTTAAATATACTCAAACAAAAAAATTTTTTCTCAACGCAAATAACCCTAGCTACACGTAAAATCGCTCTTGGACAACATAAAATTCACATCGCCATACGCTTTATCGCAAGGCCTGTAGTAGTAGTAGTAGTAGTAGTAGTAGTAGTAGTAGTAGTAGTAGTAGTAGTAGTAGTAGTAGTAGTATTAGTAGTAGTAGTAGCAGTAGTAGAAGTAGTAGTAGTAGTATTCACTGCCCTCATGCTACGAATTGCATGCCCTAGCGCTACGAAATTTCGCCCTCGTGTTACGTTTTTGCCCTCATGTTACGCGGAATGCCCTAATGTTACGCAAAATGCCCTTATGTTACAAGTTTGCCCTCATGTTACAAAAAACCCGTTGCATGAGGGCAAAAATAGCCCGGATGTTACGCTAAATAGTAGCATGAGGGCATTCGGCTTAAAACTTTGATTTTATAGGATTAATGTGTAAGCGAGCAAATTGGTAGATTTTAAAATGGCAGAGTTTAATGTATCAGTGGGACGTTTGATTAAGATTGATATAGTAATAAATTAGCATTGAAATATAGTTAGAACGATAACATATTAATAAATAATAATAATGTTGAACATGTATGCAATCATATTTCAAATAATTCAAATAATGATATTGGCGATATATTAATTAATTAAGATTGATAGTAAAGTTAGCTAGCTCTAGTCTCTGTTAGTAATCTAATTAGATTAAGATAATCTAACGTTATTATCAAACTTTATTATCTACAATAAACATTTATTGGTACCTCAGGTAGTACTTAATTTGTTATTAAAATGTTATTAAACTTTGTTTTGGCTAAATATACTAATTAATAAATTACTCAAAAATACAGTACTGTTTCATTAGTATTGTTCTAAAATAGCATAGAACTGACATCAGTGAGAATCTCAAACTTTGAGATCTCACTGACACAATACCTTTGAATCGAATTTATTATTGTCACAATGCCGTTAACATATCATATGCATATAATGTGTGTATCAAGCACACATTACTAATGTCATTAGTAATGTGTGTTTGATACACACATTATATACATATGATATATTAAAGTCATTGTGTAATGTTATTACATACATATGATTTACATACACTGTATGGACATCATATGTATATAATGTAGAATACATTACATACAACATAGTACCTTGTATAGTATTTAGGTAACAAATTGTTAGTTATTATACTAATTAATAACACCTTTGACAAAGTTCAAAGGTTTGTTCAAAGGTATTATTACTTTGCAATTGTTATTAAAGTTAATAATAATATCTTAAAGTTTGAGATACCTAATGATGTAAGTTCTTATGTTTTTTAGTTCTATAATTAATAAAATATCATAAATAAATCCTAAATCTTCTCAACATAAAAAGGTCATAAGTTTTTCTTCAGATTTTATGTTGAAATACAAAAAAGTTTTCCATTTGAAATCATTTCAATAAACTTAACTTAACATTTAGTAATAAATACATTCTCTCCAAAACTGATCATAAATAACTTGTGCTCTCAAGTGTAATAATTGTTACGTTAATTTTCTATATTGAATAAAGGTTTTTAAAGTTCGATAAATAATTCTATAAATAAATTAATATAATAACTATTTATATTTTAAGACTAAAGAATTAATTAAAAATGTTAGAAGAAAATATTTTAACACCAAAGTGTGTACTGTGTAAAAGAGTAATAGATAACTCATGTAAATGTAACTTATGGAAAAACGATGCTTACAAAATTTGTAAGGCTTGTGCAGGTATTAAATTTATTTTGTTTGATTATTTATTATATTTGCTTAAATACACAAGCTAATCTATTGTTTATCTACAGATTCTTCATGCTGTATTTCTTATCCTGATAATGTTTTAATAGTTAAAAGAGGTATGTATTTGCACATTTAGGACATTGATTGTAATTTGGGAGATATTATCGTTTTATATTGCATATTTTCATAAAATATTATTGTATATATTACCGGTTTTAAATATATTTAACTAGAGTTTAGACAAAAATTGTTTCCTACGTTTATATATACATATGTATGTATATATATATATATATATATATATATATATATATATATATATATATATATATATATATATATATATATATATATATATATATATTTATATACATTTAAAAAAATAATAACACTTAATCTATAATATAGATTAAGTGTTATTATTTTTTTTTAGCATTTAAAAAATTTACAGCCCAATCAATAGTAGAAATTTCATCTTCATCGTTACTCGTGTCTATTTTCTCTGGTCAAGTATGTGTTTTTTATTAAATTTTAATAAATTTGGGGATTCAATATTTATGTATTTGGCCTACTTAAAACCATTTATGTATTGTTCTATACCTCTGTGTGCATTTTAGAGATTGTTTTTTGTTACTTTTTTTTTAGAAAATGTTCAAACTTTTTTATTCTTTTCTAGCTTTATAGTTACAGACACAACATTTATAATTCTGGCGGGAAGGCAAAAAGTAAACATGTAAAGTTTTATATTTTATAATAAGAATAAGATAAATAGATGGTAAATAAATAGTTTTAAAATTTTTCATAGTTATTTATTTCCAATTATATTTTATAGGAAACCTTATAGACCAAGACTTAATGTACCTTTTATCCGAGGATATAAAAGACAGTCTTATACACGCTATTTCTAAATCATTTAATAGTCTTAAGGTAAGGAATGAATTTTTTATCAATAAATATATACATAATTTTATTAAATATATAGTATTAAATATATATATATATATATATATATATATATATATATATATATATATATATATATATATATATACATTTATATATATATATATATATATATTATATATATATATATATTATATATATATATATATATATATATATATATATATATATATATATATATATTATATATATATATATATATATATATATATATATATATATATATATATATATATATATATATATATATATATATATATATATATATATATATATATATATATATATATATATATATAACTCCAAACTTTTGTATGTTCATTCTTGCGTCAAATGAGAGTGTTTTGTAAAAAGTTGTGGTGATTGCAGCTTGGGGACAAAAAAAAACCAATTTTTGGGCCCACCCAGCCCTTAACAAGGGAGCAACAAGTTAATAAAATAATTTTTTTAGTATTTTTATCTAAGTTAATATTCATCAACAAATTTTAAATTTCATCCAATGATTTCTTATTTTTCGAAAATTATGACCATATAAAGTTTTAACCCCCCTCAATTTGAGGAGGCTGTAAACTTTGTAGGGTCATAAAAACTAAAAACTAAGAGGTTATTGTATGAAATTTGAAATTCATTGATGAAGATAAACTTAGATAAAGATACATAAGAAATTATTTTGTCAACTTGTTGATTCCAGGTTAAGAGCTGGGTGGGCCCGAAAATTGGTTTTTTTTTGTCCTTAAGCTCAAATCACCACTTTTTGATAAACATTCTCATTTGACATAAGTATGAACATACAAATGTTTGGAGTTTGATAAATACGTGTAAGTGTCAAAACTCAAACATCTAAAAATCCAGTGTACACCACTGTGTATATATATATATATATATATATATATATATATATATATATATATATATATATATATATATATATATATATATATATATATATATATATATATATATATATTTGTAAGTTTACATTTATTTTTCCATGCTTGTGTGGTTTCATCTTTTTGGCAAAAAGGTACTGGTAAATCGTGTCTAAACCCAACAATTGTTAGAAAATACACCACAACTTTAGTACATGATAAGTATCCTGAGCTTAAGCAAAATACAGCTCATTTGCTATGCCATAATGTTACCACAGCCGAAAAATCATATGCCATAGCTGAGAAAAGGAACAAAGTCGCAGAAACTAGTAAGCAAATTCGAGAGGTCCAGAGAGAAACATATGCTGACAATCAAACTGCCTTTTATGGGGCAGTATAACATTGCCTGAAGTCCGTGAAAAATTTAATCAGTATTCTCTTGGTGATATATCGGATAGTAAAAAGGTGAAAAAAACTCTAGATGATGTGCGCTATTTAATTAAAAAAAATAAAGCATCTGATGATGATTCGGATTTTAATCTTAAGAACTGTTCAGATTTTGAAAATGATAAGTTTACAATTGATAACCTTTCATACAACAAACACAGTGATATTGTCCCATCTTCACCTACTAGGTCATTGTATTCTAAAACAAGAAATCGGAAAGAGTATAGCCAGGAAGATTTAACTTTAGTTAATAAGCATTTAAAGCAGTTTATCGATTCAAACACAACATTGTTAAAAAAAGAAGTGCAACAGTATTTAGAATCAGTGCCAGAGTGCAATCCGCTACTAGAAAAGTTTGGCTTAAGATCGTTAATTATTAAAATTCGTACAGAAAAAGGAAAACATTAGATATATTTACCTTTGTACTTTGGTTTGGTTTTTTGGTGATATATATATATATATATATATATATATATATATATATATATATATATATATATATATATATATATATATATATATATATATATATATATATATATATATATATATATATATATATATATTAAACTATTTTTCTTCTAGTGTGTTTATAAATATAGAATATATCTTTAATCGGTACAATTCTTTTTTTTTAATTAGTTTTTTAGTTTCATGATGTTAAATGATAATGAAGTAAGATAATTAACAGGTTCCCTAGTTATTGGTCGTGATAGGTCCTCGTCTATGGAGTACATTCTCATAAAAATTGTTTTTTTTTTCATGTCCCTATCAAATAGAGAAATTTTGAAACCCTCTAAAAACCCTCTCTTGAAACCCTCTAAAAATGTAAAACTGTAAAATAATAATTTAAAAGCAAATAATAGGCGCGAATTAAAATTCAAGTTTGCATATCAACATTAATAAACAAGTTAACTAGACGTAATTATGACCCTTGATCTCCTTCTCCCTCTGGTGTCGTCGACCCTGTCCAAATTAAGATTGATGTCAAAGAATGAATAAAGGTAAATTCTGTGCTCTACTAAAACCAGCCAGGCGGCTTTCATATGAAAGCTCACTGTAATCGTCTTACAAAAACTTTTTTTTCAAGATTTGATTAACATCTAGGCATAAATGCTTTCATCTGAGAGTTTTTTTTCAAACTTCCTTATCCACGTGCGTCAGTGTTGCCTAAATTTATTATAAACTTAATCCTAAACTTAAGGCCGCAAAGATTGATTAAAATTCTTTTAGACTCCGCGCTTGAAGAAGTCAAACAAAAAATGTAATGTTTTTTTTACGTTGAATATTTTTTTTCTTGTTATCTAGATTATCTGGATCATCGTTTGAGTTTGGTGTGCTCTTTATAAATCTTATTAGACTTGACTTGATTATACTATAGCTTGAATTTACTAAAATTAAATTTGTTTACTGTCGAATACGTTATTTTTTTGTTTTACAGTCGCTCACAATAATTATGTTATAACAACAATTCATTTTTATAACCAGGGCCTTCGTTTTTATAACCAGGGCCGCCGAGAGCCGTAACATAGCAGGGGACAGCAGCCCTGATTAACGCCCATATTTATCAAAGTTTTTCTATATTATCGGTGAAGTACCTCTTAAATTTATTTTTAGGTACCTTTTCTTTTATTTGGCACCATCTTGGACATCTGCCGCCCGGGAAAAACTGTCCCTTTTGCCCCCTCTTCACGGCAATCCTGTGTATAATCATCTACATTGCAAATAAAATTGAAAATTGTAATAAGTGAATTCTTTTATCTTAGGAGATATATTTTTTTCCTTTGTTTTTTTAATTTATTAATTTCCATAACTTGTTCGGCTGTTCAGTAATCAGCTTTATAAAAGGAGTTAAACAATTTGGTGATGCGCATTACATTTATATAATGTTGTTAAAGTATTAAACCAAAAAACTATAGTTTCAAAACATAGCAACCTAGGGATTCTCTTTTATTTTGCTAATTCTTATGTGAACAAAATTTTTGTACAATCCTAATATTTGTCATAATTCAACACTTTTACTTTAGAGAGGGGCGAGTTACTTTGTTTTGCATTATCCACTCCTCACCCCACCCATTGTTTTTTTGACTGTTATTATATGTAGTTTAATGGCTTTTAAAATTTCACTTATTGAAAATCCACACATAAGAAACATTTCATTGGATTAAAGTTTACATCAAAAAATCTTTAGTATTTAAATGTAAGAAAATACCGTAGCCCTCATGCTACGCAAAAAAAATATTGGAAAATTAATTTAAACACGTTAGCTATTACATATAATTAAAAACTTTTATATATTTTTTGTGCAAATAACATCAAGATAAAAACTTCATAAAAGGAAAACCTTACTTACTTTTGGTTACATAGTTGTACAAATTAGGCTATTTTGCATTGAAAAAATTCAGAACTCAAAATTAAGTTCACCACAACTTTAAATAAGTTTCCGTGAACTTTTTGGACGATGAAAAAATCTAATTTTCAGTAGTAGCAAATGAAATACTTGACTAAAAATCGTGGAATTTTGTGATAAGTGTGGGGAATTTGTTCCTTTTTAAGAAAAAAATAACCTTTTTATGACATATTATGAAAATTCACTAATAATCCGAAAAGCCCTTACGTTACGCATTGCTACAACTACTGTCATTTTGTGTACTAATTTTCTATCGTAACCATAAAAAATTTGATTTTTTTGTTAATATTATAAAATTATAAGATAGATTTTGTCAAAAACATTTAAAAAAATTAGACTTTTCAAAATTTGTCTCCCATTTTTACGCTAGACTGTTTAGTAACATGAGGGCTCGCGAGCGGAGTTATAGTAGTAGTAGTAGTAGCAGTAGTAGTAGTAGCAGTAGTAGTAGTAGCAGTAGTAGTAGTAGTAGTAGTAGTAGTAGTAGTAGTAGTAGTAGTAGTAGTAGTAGTAGTAGTAGTAGTAGTAGTAGTAGTAGTAGTAGCAGTAGTAGTAGTAGTATGAAAATCTGCAGCACATTTAAACAAGGGTTAAATAGTGTGGAGCAAATAAACAGATGAAACCCTCAGTTTTGCTGATTATTGTTTAGATTGTCAAGCAATATTTTGAACGATTTTAATCTTTGCTATTCACTACCTGCTCGGGGAGGTTATTTCATTCAAAGACAATACAATTAGTAAAAAAAAGATATCTACCGAGAATTTTTTTTTCCCTACCTTAGTTGTGATGGAGTTTAATTAGCACGAGCTGGAATAACTATTTGTGGTTTGATTTATTCTGTATTATTGATGTTATTTTTATATTGCTTATGTGTAAATTATAAAATTAATAAAAAAATCATAACAATAAATAATATAATATTCAAAACTATAAAAACATACATTTTGTCAAACTTGATCAACCTATTAGCAATACTATCTCCATATTGAAAAAAATTATATACATCATCTGTAACTACCAGAACATTATATTTTCTTGCTAATTCAACAATTTTCATGCAACTAGCTAAAAAACAAATTTTAAAAAGAAAAAGTTAATTTAACATAATATTTTTAAATCTTAAGCAATTTAAGTCAATATTAAAAAAAAAAAAAATTAATAAGAAAAGAAAACTTCATTTGCTCATCATGTCCGAGAAAACCAAAAGTATTTATAGAAGTAAACATTTATAAGATAAACAGCAAACTATTATAAAATAAAACAAATTTTGTAAAAATTTACCAACCATCAGAATAAGATGTTCCTTTTGGATTATGGCAAACACTGAGTAAATAAATCATAGCTGAAAATGGTTTTTTTTCTGAAATTTTTCGCCTGGTACTTTGATACATTAATAAAGATGCTTCTAATTTCTCTATGCTAATTCCATCATTATCACTTACAACTAAAAAAGAATTGTATATCATATATATATATATATATATATATATATATATATATATATATATATATATATATATATATATATATATATATATATATATATATATATATATATATGTATATAACAAAAATATTTTTGTTTTACGGACATACATGGAAACATAAAAAACTCGAATGTTCTCAAAACAACTTGGTATGGAAAAATAAAAAGAATATTTACAAACACTAAAAATCTGCCAAATTAACGAACAAACTAATTCTATATGTTCAAAAAATACGCTGATAAAGCAAAATAAAGTTCTAGAGTATTCAGTTGAAATGTTTTAGAAATTATTCACCATTTGTTACGTTTTGAGATTTCTAGCATAAATTGTTTTAAGAATATATATTATTTGTTTACAAAAATAAATGTTTTAAATATATATTATTTAAATTGTCAAAATTTTGAAAGTTTATTATAAATTATAGATTTTATTAGTATATTCTTATTTTTTATTTAAAAAGTATGTATTCTTTAAGAAAATGTAATTTTGTGTATCTGTTGTTGTATGTGTATATTTTTGTATGTATATTCTGTATGTGTTTTTTTTTTATCGTAATGTATCTTTTAAAGCAATTTTTGTGATTTAAACAAAGACTTACAAAAAAAATTGCGTTTTCAATGAAATTATAATCATTAAAGTTAATAAAAATAATTATGTAACAAACATATAAAAAGTTTCGGTTACTAAACACAAACAACGCATACAAAGTAACGTGGATGAAGAAGCACTGCACCTAACAAACATATAAGAAGTTTCTGGTTACTAAACACAAACAACGCATAATGCGTATGAAGAAGCACTGCACCTGAGGTCACGACAGAACACAAATATATATAGTAAATTATTAGATCACAACAGAACACAAATATATATAGTAAACTATTAGATATAAAGAAAAGTTTCTAGATATTGGTTTACTAACTTTAATTATTTTCGATTAAGTTGTCATTCTTAAAACTCATTATACTTTTTTCTGCTTTAAGTACTAATTAAAATTAAAAAGCCCACTTGCTAAACATCATCAGCAATATTGTGAAGCAGTTTTGCTTCCTCGCCATAAAGTATTTTTAACCTTTTTAGTTGATTTCTATCTAGTTGATTTAATTTCTATAGTAATTCAATGATTTAATTATTTCATTTGTTTATCTTACTATGAAGAATATCTTCAAATATGTTCAACTTTTTAAACTACACGAAACATAATATAGGTATCAAAAAAATTAACTTTTTTATTTATAAAATAATTTAGCTTAAATAAAACTTAAACTTGTAAACTTTGTTAAATAAAGAACATTTGTTTCCTTTTTAAACAATCATAAGGTGTTACTTGATATAAAAAATGTCGCTTAGTTTTATAAAAAAAAAAATTATAAAAGAGCAATGTTTCAAAAATATTTGCTCTAAACGTAATTAATTTTGCTTTAAGTTTTTTTGCGTTAATAGATATTTTATTTTCCAAATTTTTTTTTTTTTTTTGTAATTGTCTCTCATTGGTCCAATTAATCTTTTTTTTTTGCTTTTTAAAATGTTCTCAAAACAATAAAAAAATCTGGCCAGCTTTTCGCAAATAAATATTATTTTCGTGGTCAGCAATCAAGAGCGATTGCTCCCCCTTCCTGACCAAGCCTGTATATATATATATATATATATATATATATATATATATATATATATATATATATATATATATATATATATATATATATATATAAATATACAGAAAAATTATTGTTACAACCATATGTATCTAATCTTCAGGTTTGTGGTTTTTTATTCAGTAGCTCTTTGAAATTTTTATATAGTAAAATTATTAGTTTTTCATATAAACAAAGTAAACAATGTATTGTTGTGTTGTTGTATGGTCTTTTTAGGATTTTTAAATTCAGGTGTTTTTTTGAGTTTTTCCCTAATTTCCTATATATATATATTTTGAGAGTGTGGTTGCATTTTAAAGTTTTTAATTTTTAAATAATTGCTTATGGTTCGCATATCTCTTTTTCCGAAACACATCTTTTTTTCCAATTCACATATCTCTTTTAACGAAAAAAATTATATTTGTATTTCACTTGATAATTGCAATAGCATGAAATTAGTTAAGTTATTGTCCTACGGGCAATAACTTAACTAATCTTGGTCGCCCCCCAATAATTTGATTTGTTAAAAAAAAAAAAAATTTATTTGCACTATGTTTTATTTAATTAAACTTTGATTGAATGAAAATTGCAACTTTAACAACTTTTAAAACACGTTTTTTAAATAACATATAAATTAGTGTTTTAAACATCTTCATATTTTTATTGTGCTCTCTTAAAAAAAGTTTTTTTGTAATTAAACTTTGAATAAACGATAATTGAAAGATAAAATAGCTTTCAAACAAAGTTTTTTTCAAGTTATTCTTTAAAATAAAAATGCATCATTATATTTAAATTATTTTTAATAATATAACAATGGAATGTTAACTATTATAGAGCTTATAACAAAATTTTTTTGTATATTAAAATTTTTATTATATTGTTTAAACAAAATGTTTTTAACAAATGTTTTAACGTAATTAATTTAAAAAAGTCTATTATTCAATTAAAAGCATTTGATAAGTAAACGTTTATTTATAAATTTTTTATAAATAAATGTTTATTTAGCAAATTAAATTAATATTTAACGCTTGATAAATAAATATTTTTAATTTAATTTCATAAAAGCGTTTCATTTGCAGTTATGACTTCAAAACTTTCATTCGTTCTTTATAAAAAGCGACAACCAGCTTTCTAATTTAAACAGAATGACATAAGTTAATAGAAAAGAAGGAAAATAAACCTCAACAATTAGACTTTAAAAATGTTGCTTTATTGTTACAGCAGATTAAAAAGTAAGTAAAGGCCCTAAATAAGATATTTTCAAAAGAAAAAGAAACTTTAGGATCCCGCATGTCTTGCACAAATTATCCCAAAATTGTTAAAAAAATAATAATTCTTTATTATGATTCATTTAATAAACCTAAGTCATTTTTTTAACTTTAATTTATTTTTTAAATATATTTACATAATGCAAACAGGTTTAAATATACAAATATGTAAAAAAAATTATATTAAAACATGAGCATTGTGTTTTAGTTAATATTTGAAATAACAGTTCACTCTAATTAAGATACATAAAAGATAATGCAATAAAAACATAACTGTGAATGCTTCCTTATTTATTATATTGACATTTGGTTTCAAATGTTGGCATAATTTATTCGAGAATCTAGCAAATTCAAAATGGAACAATGTCGACTAGCATACCCAATGTGGTCAGCTGATGCTTTTGTAACAATGGCAACATGTCTTTCAACAATTTGGCGGTGACATAAAACGTCTAAAAGTTGCAAAGATTCTTTTTCATATTCCAAAATTTCCAAATCTGTTTTATTACTAAGTAAAGGCAGAGGTGTGACTAATTCTTTTTTTCAGTCTATAATGATAGTATAATCATTCGAAAAGTGTTTTTGGTAGTTCAAAATTCTGTTCTTCACCTTCTTTGTGCTTCAAATATTCTACCGATTGCAGTTTTGCAAACTTCATGTCGTTTATCAGCTAACATGTTTAAAATAATGTTTTCTGGATGTGCAAGAAAAGAGTTTTATTTAAAAATTTTCTTCATAAAACTCTGGCATGATTCTTTGATTTGAGAAATCTTATTACAAATAAACCAAAAACTCTTTGAGCCATACTTTTTGAATCTTTAATCAACAAACACTTAATCTCTCATCTTGAATCAAATAACTTACTTTCCGATCATCAATATGGATTTCGGTCTTCTCGTTCTATAGCTGATGTGCTAACAGTAATAACCGATAGGTTTTACCGTGCATTAGATAGAGGTGGAGAGGTTAAGGCTATGCAACTTGACATTTCTAAAGCTTTTGATAAAGTTTTGCATGCTGGTCTTCTCCATAAGCTTTCTTCTTATGGTGTAGCTGGTAACGTCTTTAAGATTATTGAGTCCTTTCTTTCCAATCGTAGTATAAAAGTTGTCCTCGATGGACAACACTCTTCTTCACATCCTGTAACTTCAGGGGTTCCTCAAGGTTCAATCCTTGGCCCTATACTCTTTTTAATTTACATTAACAATCTTCCAGATATTCTCACATCTAAGGTGGCATTATTCGCTGACGACACTACCATTTACTCTTGTCATGATAAGAAGCCTACACTCTCTGATTGCTTGGAGGGGGTATCTGAGCTTGAAAAGGATCTCACTTCTGCTACAGCATGGGGCTCACAGTGGCTGGTGAACTTTAATTCAGATAAAACTCAATTTTATTTGGCCAATCGTTATCGTAATAATTTAGATCTTCCTATATTTATGAATGGTAATGTACTAGATGAGTCATCTACCATTCATCTTCTAGGATTAACTCTTACTTCTGATCTGCTAAGGTTGCATCTCTTTATCGAGCTCAACACTTTCTTACTCCAGATTCTATTCTCTATCTCTATAAATCTCAAATCCGTCCCTGTATGGAATACTGTTGCCACATCTGGGGCGGATCTTCTAATGATGCTCTTTCTCTTTTAGACAAGGTGCAAAAACCAATTGTAAACATAGTTGGACCTGCTCTGGCAGCCAATCTCCAACCTTTGTCACATCGTCGTAATGTTGCTTCTCTCTCTCTTTTCTACAAATACTATAATGGGCACTGCTCTAAAGAGCTAGCGTCCCTTGTGCCATCTACTAAAGTTCATTCTCGTGTTACTCGCCATTCAATTAAGTCTCATCCTTTTTCTGTGACTGTTCCTAAGTGCTTCAAAAACTCTTATTCTTCTAGTTTTTTTCCTCGAACATCAGTTCTTTGGAATTCGCTTCCTTCATCTTGCTTTCCTGATTCATATAATTTGCAATCTTTTAAGTCATCAGTCAATCGTTATCTTGCTCTACAGATTTAGTCTTTTCTCTTCCAGTAACTTCCAACTCTCAT